GCACCGCACCGCACCGCACCGCACCGCACCGCACCGCACCGCACTGCACAGCTGCTGGGCAGGGTAGAGTCAGTGGGATGCGAAAGGTGACTGCGTGCATGGGTGCATGGGTGCGTTGCGTACATCTGGCGCCGCCCTCATCTCTTGGGCTTTTGGCAGGCAAAGCGTGATGCGTACCGTACCGTACCGTAAGTCAAGAGTGAGCTCCACATGCGTGGAGGAGGGCGTGCATACGGTACCGGTATACGATTAGCGATGCATGTGACACCAGTGTGCCTACATGCCTGTTTGTAGCCCCATACCGGTCTGCACCCATCCCATCCTTGATGCTCGTCAAACTTGGCGCTCTGAATCCCCAACTGCTGTCCTTGATCACGCCCCTCACTCTTCTACCGCTTTTATCTAGCCACGCCGTGAGGATTGCGGAAAGATGTCCAGCACTCAAGCTGCACCGCCGCCCCTACCTTTAGCTCCTCGTCCCGCCCAAGCAGGCGCGAGTCGGAGCATCTACGCATCATCTCAAACGCACACCGCTTTCCTCTTCAATCAGCTCTTTCTCATCCTCTCACAGCTGCAGAGCTCATCGAGCATAAGTCAAGATGATCATCGGGCCATCGTTGCTAGATTGGAGAGGGTGCAGTTGAAGGAGACGGGTGAAGTGGAAAAGGATGAGAACTTGATGACGGAACGGGAAAAGGAGGCCGAGAGGGGAAAGAGAAATGCTTGGGTTCAGAAAGCGGTGAGTGTCTGAAACGGCATCCAAACGTGCTCTTCATCGTCGCTATGATCCACGAGATGGCGAATCAAGTGAATCATGTGAATGGCTTGAATCGGCTTGCCTCCTCGAGGAATTCCAATCTGAAGCTGAATTGGTTGCCGGTTTGCACTCACGACTCACGACTGCAGTCACCAGTGCACGGCGCTCGATCGAGGCGACTGCATGTCTGATCTGATCTTAATCGAGCTGACACTCGAGTTTCACTTTCGTCTCAGATATCCGAAACGTGAGTCAAAAGTGAACTCGTCATGCGCGCGGCGAAAAGTGCTGCGCCGTCTGATGTTCATTGCGATGCAGCTGTTTGCATGCATGCTGGATGCATCACGCAAGTGCAAGTTTGACTGAGGTCTCCTACCCTCGCTGCTCCAACCACACTCACGACTGCTGCCTCACAGATCGTTGCTGCCGACGCTGGTAGAGACGGCGCTAAACATGACAGCCGGGCCATTTCTATCGGACAATCAAGTCGACGCCATCGTCCAGCTTGTAGAAATGTCTCAGAACAAGATTGCTGCAGCAGTGACTGATCCATCCTTGCAGCGCAAAGCCGAAACGGGCGTAGGGTCTGGCGCTCTGTCGGCTGGCAAGGGTATTCGTAAAGGCTTCGCTTCGGCTGGAGACAAGTGGGAAAATATGCTCAGCAAGAGGTTGGAGAAGAAGGAGATGGAAAAGAGCGAGAGGCAAGAAAAGAAGAGGATGAAGGAGGAACTCAGGGCGGAGAGGGAAGAAATCGTTAGGAAACGCCAGCAGGAGATATTGAGCGGCGCTGGCAGCTCCGCAGCAGCGATGGATGCTGCTACCGAGCGTGCAAAGAATGAGAAGCAACCCTCGCTGTCGACGGCAACGTCTTTGGCATCATCTGGAACCCCACCGACTTTTCGGCATGAGCTCAGCTCCACCTCGACGAGCCTCACATCAGCCGCTCCCGCTCCCGCTTCTCGTACTCTGCCTCCTCCACCCACCTCCACGCCCGCCAAGCCCGTCGTCGCAGCGGAGGAGCCATCGCAAGCAAAGGATTACTCCATCACGTCGGCGCAAGACGGCTTGGCCACAGCCACCATCGACGTGCTCTCCCTCGACGGGTTCGATGCTTCGAGCACCCAGAGTGCCGCAAGCACGAGCCGCTTCAGTCCTTGGCCAGGTCTCATCCTGACGAATACCCTCGTCGCTTCAAGAACGTCTGTAGACGTACCACGAGGCTCTTCAAGGAATCCCGCGGTCGAACCATCGACGGCCACACGAGCCAACGAGTCCAGAGATCTGCCCTTGCCACCCCCGCCCTCTAGAGGATCCTTGTCGCATCCGTCCCAAAGTACCGCTTCCAGCCAGCAGCAGTTGCAGCCGCCTCCATGATTGGCTGGTCAGGATGCCCGCCGCCCGATGTCGTTCAATATCTCGCGTGCCTGCGATTTGATAATGCGATGATTCATGATATTACTGCAGGGCTCGAGAAGAAGGCGCATCAAGACTCATCAGGAGCTTGGTAAGCCGGCCAGCCATTCCTAGAAGGGGTATCTGTGGGCGCTCTCATCTCCCTCGGGAACAGGCCGTGCAACCTCTGACTAGCTAGCGTTCTAGCTTTTCGTCTGGCTTCAGCTCCCACCAATATCGTCTCTCCCTCTTCGCTCTTTCGGCCCTCTCCACCTGCCAAACCTAGCTTGACCAATCTCGCCTGTTCGTCCGGATGCCTCTTGTTTGGAGCTACGCGATAAGCGGCCTGGGCGAACAATTTGGGAGATTGCTTCTTGAGCGCAGCGCAAGCTTCTTCCATCCTGCTCCTCTTGACATTCAAGTCTTTCCTTTGAGCTTCCCTTTGCTCCCTGCGATGCAAGTTCCAGGCCCTCATGATAGTGTCGTGCACCTCGACAGGGTAAGGTAGGGCCGCATGCAGAGCTGCTTGAGCTGATCCGGCAGCCGGCGCACCATCGGGAAAGATCATTCGTCGCATCGAGTCCGTGTTGCTGTCCACCGGACCGTCGTTGGAAGGGCGTCCGTACGTTCCGCCAGAGCTCTTCGGCGCCGTAGCGTAACCTCTCTTTTGAAGAGCAAAGGTGCTCATGCTCCTTACACGTGCGCCTCCAGCAGGCGATGAAGGAGTTGGCGTAGGCGCACTGCCGGTAGCAGAGAAAGATGCAGAGCTATGAGAGGCCGCCAACGTCGCTTGTTCACGAATCAAGTTGAGTGCAGAACCTGCTCGGATCCATGCTAGATGTGCAGGCGACAGGGAATGCTTGGTAGCAATTTCGAACGTCTTGCCATCGGGTTTGGTCACGCGGACGCGAACTTGCGTCTCCAAGTCGCCATCAGGCTTGAGCAGATCTGCTAGGTTGACGGTCTGAACGGCATCTCCTGCGTCGATTTTCGAGTAGTCATTTTCGTCGGCGAAGAGCAGCGTCAGCACTCCCTGCTTCCGTAAGTTCGTCTCTGCAATTCGAGCAATCGACCTGGCGAGGATGAGCTGACAGCCAAAGAAGCGCGGCTGGAGCGCAGCATGCTCTCTTGCCGACCCTTCGCCATAGTTGTGGTCAGCTACAAGCATCCATGGCTGGCTGCGAGCCTTGTGGCGCTTCGCGATGGAAGGAATTGTATCCCTTACGCCGCCCTCGAGGTCGTGCGCAGAGTTCACCTGTCCATCTTGGTCATTCATGGCACCGATCAGGGTGTTTTCCGCCAGGTTGCTGAGGTGGCCCTGTGTGGAGGTGCGCAAATGACTCAGCAGGGTCGGGCAATGTGCGTGTCTGCTCGGCACGTGGACTTACCTTGTACTTGAGCCACGGCCCAGCTGCGGAAATGTGATCCGTGGTGCACTTGCCCCTGATTCGTAGCAGACACTTCATGTCTGACAGCTCGTAGTTACCACTCTTGAAGGGGGTATCGAAAGCTTCGAGCGGCTCAAGCCGAGACGAGGTGGGCGAGATGGCAATCGGTGTAGATGCGACGGGCTCGGGGCAGGGACGTGGCAAGTAGCTCTCGTCGCCTGGCGTGAAGCCGCGAGAAGGCAGCTCCTCGCCGCTAGGCGGCTCGAAGCGGAAATCAGACCCATCTGGAGCTTTGAGCGTGTCGGTGATGGGATTGAAGTCGAGTCTCCCGGCAAAAGCCATTGCGGTGACGATCTCGGGCGAAGCGAGCATGTTCTGTGTCTTGGCGTTGCCGTCATTCCTTCCACGGAAATTGCGGTTAAAGGACGTCAAAATCACTGCAGAGCGTCATACTTGACTTGTCAGCACTACTGCCGGGCGCAACAGAGTGCGCTGCATGGTCTGCGGCTATGAACTCACCATTCTCCTCGCCTTTTAGCTCCCTGCGGTCCCATTGTCCGATGCAAGGACCGCAAGCATTGGCTAGCACCCGTGCGCCAGCTTTTGCAAGATCCTCCTGGATGCCATCGCGCTCGACCGTCGCTCTGACCTGTTCGCTTCCCGGCGTCACATCAAAGCTGGTCGCCACCTTCATTCCTCGCCCGGTAGCCTGGCGAGCAAGACTAGCGCACCTGGCCATGTCCGCATAGCTCGAATTGGTGCAGCTTCCGATGAGCGCAGCGCTCAACTTTGCGTCCTTTACGTAATCGCCCGCCTTGGCGCGAGCGACAAACGTGGACAGGGGTGTGGCCAGGTCAGGTGTAAAAGGACCATTGATAGTGGGTTCCAGATTATCCAGGTCGACTTCCAGCCTCGAGTCGTATTCTGCGTCCGCGTCAGGCTGCAACAGGGACTGAGCGCCCTGCGCATCCTTGGCAATGTGACCTCGCCCTGTCGCTGCGAGATAAGCGCCCATCGGTTCGGTGTACGCAAATGCAGATGTAGTAGCGCCCATTTCGGCTCCCATGTTGGCCATTGTGGCCAATCCAGTAGCGGGAAGCGTGGACAAGCCAGGGCCGGTGTACTCCAAGATGTTACCTGTGCCCCCTCGGACGGTCAGAGCGCCTACTACGTGCAAGATGATGTCCTTTGGAGTGCACCATGGAGACAGGGTACCAGTGAGATTGATGTTGAGGACTTTTGGCGCTTGCAGCTCCCACGGCGTGGCTGTCAATGCGTCCACTGCGTCTGCGCCTCCAACTCCTATGGCGAGGCACCCCAGGCCGCTGGCATTGGGTGTATGCGAGTCGGTACCAAGCATGAGCAAGCCTGGCGCTGCATAATTCTCCAGCACAATCTGATGGATGATGCCGCTTCCAGGTCCCCAAAATTCAATGCCATACTTTTTGCAGGCGGATTCCAAAAAGGCGAACACTTCCGAATTGGAAGCGATGGACCTCTTCAAGTCGGCCTCTGCACCTTCGAACGCTTGGATCAGGTGATCGCAATGGACCGATGCAGGGACTGCTGCTTGAGGTAGGCCGCAAGTCATGAACTGTAACAGGGCCATTTGCGCTGAAGCATCTTGCATGGCCAGTCTGTCCACTTGCAAGGGCAAGTATCGTTTAGCTCTGACATTGTTTGGATCTTTGCCTGCGCCAGAGAGTGTCTGCCTAGGATCGATGAGGTGAGAGTAGAGGATCTTTTCTGCTAGTGTCAAGGGCCTGTCGATGGTCTCGCGCACCACTTTGAGCTGTTCAAGCAGTCGCTCGTAAGGAGGACGTCGAGATGGGTGTCGCGATGCCAAGGGTACACCACCAGCTGCTGGAGTCGCCAACCCTCGCGCTCGCTGTGCATTGCGTGCAGTCGAGACCGTGATCCGCTGTGAAGCGCGCAACAAAGACATTGTGCAAGCTGAGCCTTGACAGATGGAAAGGTTGCGCAGGGCAGATAGTGGTGCAGCGAGGATCAGACAGGACCCGGTTCAATCGTGGCCGGATGGACAAATCATCAAGAACATGAATGTGATGGCCTGCCTCGCGTGACCTTCCTTCTTGCCTCTGCTGCAACGAAAGCGCACCACAAAATGTGGGCGAGTCCTTTGGGGGCTGAAGAAGACGCAAGGTGGGCGGGCGAAGCGGACGCTGGTACCAAAAGAAAACCAACGCACGTGATACGATCTTCGGCGAATCACGCGCTGCAGAAAGCAAAGCTATCTGTTATCGTACGAGAGTGTGAAGGCAGCGTGTCGCTTACAAGGTCCGTGCTGAGAGCGACACAGGAAAAAGCTTCGCTCGACTTCCTTCACGCAGACGAATTTGACTCGAGAGACTTGAACTGGCAAAATAGGCGCGCGACTCCTTTGCTGGCTCTCACGCGATCAAGGAGGTGCTGATGGATGAAGCTTGGGTGATGTATCTTGGGTGTTGTATCATGTCATGACCGCCGCCGCCATTCACGGCGATGCAACCGGCTGGCTGGGTCGACGAGCATCGTTGCTGATGGTCGGCGCTTACCGATGCAGATCGCAGAAAGGAAAACGCAGCCAGCGCATACATACCAATGTCCCTAGTGAGCTGCCTGCTTGCAAATCCTGAAAGTGAAGGGACACGCTGTTCTGTTGTCTGCTCGCTGCT